ATTTTCACAGAATGCTGATACTTGCTGTTGGTACTTTTAGGATGTGACGAGGTACAAGTAAAAACCTGCCTAATAGGCTACCCTTGTATTTTTTTTATTAAAGCTAGCTGTAAGCGCTTTATAAGATGTACTTCTAAAAGCAAGACTTTTGCTATTAAATTTTAGGTGAAAAGTTGTCCTTTGATTCTGCATCAATAATAATGAGAGGAAAATTGTATAAAAGTTGTCATGCTTCTTTTGTGCTGCAGGATTAACAAGATTAAGAGAATACTTCAGTCATTTCTTGCCTCCAGTCTGTTTAAACTTCTATTCAGAATCTGCAGTTTCAGATTTTTTTTCCCTGTTCTATTTGGATTTGCTTCTTTATTTAAATGACAAGAAACAGACATTAGAAGAGTTATTTCAGATATGCTAAGCAAACTTAATGAAAGATAAACCTGCAGAGAATGCCAGTCAAGTGCATTTGTATTTTTTTTGTCCCCTTTCTCACGCCTCTGTGTATAGGTGCTATTCTTACATATGCACTAGGAATAGCTATGCAAATGAACTTAGAAGCCTTGTCCTCACTCTCACTTTTTCCCTTCAAGGTTTTGACTGTTCGTGAACTAGAGCCACACAATGTGGCTGCAATGGCCAGTGGGAAAAGTCCACACTGGCTTTTATAAATGTGCTAGAAAGCTGGCAATCAATAACTTAAGGTAAAACAAAGTCTGTTATAGACTCAGTCAGTGTGCGGGCAAATTAATCCATTTGACTTGCCTCCTCAGTAAAGCCTTTAGTTGACCGCTTATGACAAATTTGTTTTATTTATTGTAGCTATGTGGATTGGTGTCAGAGCTATCGAGTTTGCATCCCTGTAAACTCCCCATCATGAAGACTATTTTTATTTATTCATATATTTTTTGGTTTGCCATGTATTGACTGGCCTCCTGTAGGGATGGTGAGCAAGGTCAAGCACGTATTCCCTTGAACTTATCTTTTCTGTGGAAGACAGTTTTTCAAAGGTGTACTAAGGACAGGCTTTTATGATGAGCAATGTGTTCAGAGTGTCCAATTGAATATTTTGTGATGATTCCTTAACAAACAATATTTTTTGTCTCGAAAAGGTCAAGTGTTGTAACCTCCTAGCCTGGTTCCAGCAGCATTTTTTTTTTTTATTGCTTGCAGCTGGTTTTGAATGGAGCAACTAGATGGCTCGCTTCTTTCAGCAATCACGATCTTTTATGTTCACACAGTGTTCTTTGTTAGCCTCCTGCAAAATGAGAGATTTAGTTTACTGTTCCTGAGAAATAGAAAGAGGCAGTTAGCTGGTTTAGTCTGAGTTAGAAGGCAGGTCTGTAAGGTGCCACATTCCTAACTCATTCAGAGAGGCATGAGCTTTTGTAGGTCTCAGCCTATTTTGTTTGTAAGTATGGTGACCATATTATTTTTAAGGAAATCTGGGACACTGTTTCAAGTGAAGATGGAGTGGCGTGGTGTGCCAGGGAGTCACCGCTGTGTTGTGCGGAAGCAAGGCAGGTGGTCTGGAGCGGTGCCCAGCCCAGCCCGCCCCACATCTCTAGCCTTTGCTCAGGAGAAGCCATGCTGGGCACATGTGCACAGGCTCATGCCTGCTCCAGTCTGCCTGGCTTGCACCAGCACAGCAGCAGTGCTGCCTGCCTGCCTGGTGCACCATGCTGTCCTGCCTCCCTGCTGAACTGTGCCCCCACACACCTGCCTCTTGTCTGCAGCAGTGCTGCTGATTTGGGGAGGCGGGGGGAAGGCACCAAAATACAAGTTCACCCAGGGTGACATTTTCCCTAAGGCCAGCTCTGCTGCCACACACATGCACAGTAGATTTAGTAGAGAAAGAAGGGATCGTGTTAAGTGGGACTTTTGTTTCAATTTTTACCAACTGTCCGGGAAGCCAAGACTGCTTACAAAATCCAGGACTGTCCTGGCAAAACTGTGACGTATGGTCACTGTATCTATAAGGCACCACACTGCCCTGCCTTCTGCCTTTACTACTCTTGTTAACCCTTAGTCATTAAAAATATAGACTGGCTGTTTTGAAGATCTCTTTCATGGGCCTTATCCTGTTAGATATTTGTGCTATGACATTTAGAGCTAAATTCTACTTTGCGTTACGTGCCTAAATGGCACATATTTACTTGCGTGTCTGCAGATATCGGTACTTATTTATAGGGTGAAACAATCTCAAACTATGTGCATGTGTGCTGGAAGTAGGAGTAGGTATGGGGACCTGCCACTATTTAGCCCAACACTGTTTAGCCCCTAACCCCTTGATTGGGGGACTTACCCAGGGAGTGGCAAACCTGGGTTCTAGCCTCTTCACCCAGATGGGCTTATACCTTCTTCTAAGCAAAGCTTCAGGTCTGTGTGGAGGAATTGTTTTAACTTTTTTTTTCTGTCTTAGTTTGACCTGTTTTTGTGCATGTGGGACTTCTGTTGTCTTTGATCTTAGTTTTTTATTTTAGTTTTTGTAATTTCCCAGCTAAATGTGGGAGGAACTTCAACCTTTTCACATAATGTCTTTTGGAAGTAGAGGTGGTTAAAAATCTTTCTTGCTTCATATGCTACTGGGAAATTGAAGATTTAAGTATTTAGTTTTCTTTGGGTTTTAGCTGCTTAATACTTTGAACTGTTTCATTTCACAAAACTGAAATTTTGTGGATGCAGTACCTAAAAGGCATGTTTCTATCGGGAGACTAAGATGGCTGTTTGTTTTGTGTTTATGTAGCTATCAGTTTTACTGAATTACTGGAAAAGAGTTGGTATTAAGACTAAGGATCACTGTACTAGGAAATTCTGACTTGTATAATTCTGTAACAGTTTTAAGATGTGAAGAGTTATTCAGATTTTCCTCAATGGGTTAATACAGTGTGGTTCTGATTACAAAAGGGAAAATGCTGATAAACAGAATAATGTAACAGAAGAGGTGTTTTGGTACGTGTGTGGATGGTTCTTTAGCATGCTCTGGATTAAAATTTTATTTTTTAGAAAATCGAAATGCGTGTTTTAATAGAGCTTGCCAATAAAGTCCAAATCCTGCATTCAGTTTGGCTCCATATGTGCAGTGGTGTACCCAGGTGGAGTTAATCACTCTTCAAAAGATAACTAAGTCATGTCGTTATAAATTTTGAAAAAGTCATGCTGAGATGCACATAAAAGGGTTGGCACTGTATCTTTGTGAAAAGAAAATGGGGGGAAGATGATAGCCATTCAGGTATCAGAGATGTAACACAGTTAAGCATGAATATGTTGTATGGGCTAAGGCTTGGTCATTCCTCAATACTTGCAATGGGAAAACCAATGGAATAGGGATTATGTGGTATTGTAGCCAGCAAAGGTAGTATTTGTCCATTGCCCTTAAATCCCAGAATCTTTAGGGAGCTCGATATGAATGGAGATTTCTGTTGGTTTGTGTGTGCTACATTTTGTTTTGTGGAGTAGACATTGCTCAGTCAGGATTGCTGAAGAGCTTGATTCTTTCACCTTTGTCATAGCCAAATCAAAAGAACTTGATTTGCTTTTGATTAAATATTATACTGTACATGTCATTAGAAAATCCTTCATTTTCTTGTTTAAGATATTATTTTGGGATGTGTGTGGCTACAGTCTGCATGTAAGTATAGGTGAACGTTGTTCCAGAATAGCAGTATCACTATTGACTCATAGATTCATAGATTGTAAGATCAGAAGGGACCTTGGAAGATCATCAGGTCCAGCCCCCTGCACTAAGCAGGAAAGATAACTGGGGGTCAGGTGACCCCAGCAAAGTGACTGTCTAGTCTCTTCTTGAAGATTTCCAGGGTAGGTGATTGCACCACCTCTGGAGGGAGCTTATTCAACCAATCGGAATGCATGGTTTCCTAATGTTTTATGTTTTAATCCATGTGACACACTGCATGAATTGGAATGAGAGGTGTGCACATACACATAATTATTTTGCAATGGACCACATAGACCTTTTGGATCTGCTTTACATAGATCTGCTGTTTGGTAAAATTAAAAGACAACTTAAAATGTAGATTTATTACAGCTGATGAATTTCTTCATGGTATCATAACATGGAAAGTGAGTGGTATGATGCACATAAACAGCCATATAATGCATTTTTAACTATCAAATCTTCAGTCAAAACTAGATACTTACAGCTGAATGTCCTCTTGGTAATGATCATAGAGAGGAGATGAGAATTGCGGTGTGTTCTTTATGTTAGAAGAGAAATTTTAAATTGGAAGATTGACACTACTGAATTTCACATGCAAGGTAGCAGAAATAGTAGAAGTAATGCTAGTTTAAGAAATTGCAAATGGCAAACATTAATTATTTGCTATTTGAACTGGCTCCTGAAGAGCCAGTTTCCTTTTGGGCTAGGGGGAGGCACATTAGAAAAGGAATGCAACAGATTTTATTGGGGTGGGAAACTTGAAGTGTGCCTCCCACAGGTAAGAAATGAACTCTCTTAATGAGATCTTTATGACACCTGAACAGCAGCTAAAAACTGAGGAGATACCATCTATCGGCACTATTATAATATTTCAGAGTTGTTTTTTTAAGCTTTAACTTGAAGTGGTTCTAACAATAGTATGGAATAAAAATGTCTTCAAGAAAATAATTTATTGACTTGCGTTCTGTTGAATGAGAGTAATGCATTGAAAACACAGGAATTTTAAGGGTGGTTTGCTTCTTTTTTCTCTTTTTCAAAGGTGTTATACAGTACTTGAAACCATAAAGTAATTTTGAGTTAGCTTCTGGTTTTGCATTTCTTAGTACACACAGTATTTACATAGTTCTTTGAGACACTTTGGATGTGATTTATATTGACGTTTTTAAAAATATGTTTTTTATTCTTTTTTGTCTATGTACTTGTCTGTTCAATTCATATTTAAAGTGTTAATTAGAAAAAGACCACAAAACAATGAAAGAAATAGTTTGGAAATTGAGAGAGAAAAAGTAGGAAGAAATAAAAATGTGTGTGTACTTCCTATGTTTAGGTGGCAGTCAATGCACACATCCCTCCGGATTATCTTCTTAGAATCTGTGAGAGACTTGGACCCCTTTTAGACAAGGAAATCCCACAGAGTGTTCTTGGAGTGCAGACTTTACTAGGTGTGGGACGGCAGTCTTTGCTAAGGGCAGCAAAAGGTAAGTTTTCAGTTCCATATAGCCACAGTGCATAAATCAACAGCAACAACAAAAATGATTGCAAAGTATCTTTTATATTTGCTGGTTTGATGCTAGACATGCCTTGAGTGTGGACACCGTTCAGGCCAGTTACCAATCTCTGCTTTCTAATAACAGACTTGCTAAAACTCAGTCACTGAGACAGGGTAGCTTCTCTTGGATTGGATTTGTGCTAGAAAAGGTTTGCTGGTATTGCTATGCTGAGGTCCATGTATTTTATTGGCAGCTTCATCTGCCAGGATAACTTATATTGGCACTTTCATGCCAGTATAACTACATAAATACTGCTATACAAAAGTTGCAATGGAAGTACTTCTAGTGAGAGATACGACTATACCAGTAACTGTTTCTAGTATAATTAGGTTCTAAATGGGTAAGGGGTACAGAAAAGTGGTATGGGCTTGTCCCCAGCTAATGGGTATAAGGGATTTTGCTTGGTTTGTAATCCTTCTGACAATTTTAAGTCTGAGAAATGGCGGATCTTCAGGTGCTGCCTGCAGTATGTTAGATAGCTTTATTTCTCTTTTTATTTAGAATCCTTTAATAGCATCCTGTTCAAGGATCTAGGCAACTTCAGTATTTTTTTGAAAAAGGACATGCATTCAGAAGCTTAAAATATACCAGACATAACCAGTTAAAATACTCTATTTTCCCTTGCTACCAACCATTCTTCTTTCTACCAGTCCTTTTAAATCTCAGTTAAAGGAGGAGCTATCCCTAAATGGTCTAAGCAGATCAACTAGGAGCAAATTCCCAAATTGCAGGACCTTCACAGATAATACCCTTCCCATGGTCCAGTTGCTTTAGAGTTTAAGGGGTTGTAGCTTCTTATACCATTTTGTAGGTCATATTATATGGAGGGTTTCGTTTTGATGTACCCACTTGAGACCATTACTCCCTGTTCTGTCATCTTCCATCGCTGAGAACAGTGTAGCTCCATCCTCTTTGGAACCACCCTTCAGTTAGTTGAAGACTGCTATTAAATCCCCTCTCAGTCTTCTCTTTTCCAGAATAAATAAGCTCGGTTCTCTCACTCTCAGAAGTCATGTGCCTCAGCCCCCTCACCATTTTTGTTGCCCTTCACTGGACTCTCTCCAATTTGTCTACATCCTTTCTGTAGTGGGGCCCCCAAAACTGGATGCAGTACTCCAGATACAGCCTCACCAGTGCGAAATAGAGGGGAATTATCATTTCCCTCGATCTGCTGGCAACACTCCTACTAATACAGCCCTATATTCTGTCAGCTTTCTTGGCAACAAGGGCACACTGTTGGCTCATATTCAGCTTATGGTCCACTGTAACCCCGAGGTCCTTTGCTGCAGAGCTGCTGCTTAGCCAGTCAGTCCCCAGTCTGTATCAGTGCATGGGATTGCTCCATCCTAAGTGCCGGAATCTGTGCTTCTCCTTTTTGAACCTCATGAGTTTCTTTTTAGTTCAATCCTCCAATTTATCTAGGTCTCTCTCTGAACATCTGTGTGCATGTTCTTGTATGCACGCACGCACACACACACTGCTAGTGAAACTAGGTACCTTTGTTACTATGACTCTAACTGCAGCACACAGAAGTGTTGGGATAATGAATAAATGTGAGATGTCTAAAATAATCTGGAATAGCCTTTCTGTGTGATAGTGTTTAAACTTGAAAATGCCTTTTCTCAGTTTTTTTCATGAGCAGAAAGGAGTGCTGGGCCATACTGTAAATCTGAGCATCTCCTAATTGCATGGGATAATGCCCTGCTAAGTGATAGGATATCACGTTTTAAAGTTGCCTCCTTTGTAAATACAGAAGAAGTTTTGTGAGCCAGTGGCCGAGCCTTGCCTGGCTTGGCTGCATACTGGTGTGACTGGGTAAAGTTCTAAAGAAATATGTCATCTTATTGGGGGGGGACACCCAAAGAAAAACAGGATTATTTGAAATTGGATGGGGGTTCATAATGTTAGTGTGGCTAAATGAACAGATTGAGGGCCAAAGATCAAAGGAGTCAGTTAAAGTTGTGTAACTTGTCGAGTAAAATAATGACTTTCTTTTATCAGGCAGACATTTCTTCCAGGTATGTGACTTTTTATTTATAGAGAAAGTATATTGACCATATACTGCTTGAGAGTGTAACAGGTGTCTTAATTCTAAGAAGTAGGGTCACCTTTCCCAAAGTTATAGTTTCAGATTTTTTTTAACACTTCATTTTAGTATTAATATTGAAAGCAAATGGAGACTTCTGTACCTTGTTTTCTGGAAAAATTAAGTCGGTTCTTTTACATATAATTTTGGTAAGAAAAAGCTGAATGGAATTTGGTTTGTAAATAACAAATATTCAGCAGGGCTTTGTCTTTGAGGCCCCTGGCAGATGTTAAAATAATGGTGCCTTTGGGATCTGATGAATTTTATGAGGCATCTGAAACATTGTGTTTCCTGTCATGCCAGGTGTGCTTTGCAGGATGTGTAAATTGTGGGATGGTATATAAAATTCTTCAGATTCCAGTTGTGCCACTGCAGAGCTACCTCCAGAGCTGTTTTGGAACCTGGAGCTGCCTCATGCCTGATCCTGATACTCCGCTGAGTGTTAAGATTGTGCACAGGCCAGTCCCAGTTTAGGACTTGAAGCTGTCCTCAGCTTGATTCTGGTGATTGGGCTGAGGATAGCTCCAGACAGCCCCATGGCTGGTTGGAAGTAAGGAACTGTCTGGGCTGGAAATCAGCTGACCATGTTCAGAAGATGCTATGTTCAGAGATTTAAATTGTTATGCACCAGTCAGTGGCAGTAACCTTCAACTGCACAGCTTCTCTTTAGCATAGAAGCTCACTTTTTTCCTTCCAGATATTCACAAATGGAAAATGTCAAGGTCTGATTTTTGAGACACACTGTTGAGCACTCCCAGAAACTGCTAACTCCTTCCACTGGAGGGAAGCTTCTCTGAGTCCAGTTGGCAGCAAGATAGCTGGAGAGCCTTTAAAGAAAATAGTTTTAATGTGAAAAACAATGTCAAAAATATAGAAAGAGAGAGAATGTGGAAAGGGCATACTGCCATCAATTGCAGGAAACCAGATTTACTAAAACAGACCTCTGCCCATCTCCTTTCCCCCACCCACATCTCAAAGGATGCTTGTGTGTATATGGTTCCCAAATGTACAGTACACTTGATATAAATTGAGATGAAAAGTCAAGATTGGTACTTTGTACCTCATATGATTTTTTTTTTTTTTAGCTAAAGTATTTACCACCACCTCTCCTCCCGCATCATATGTAGACTTGCTAAAACCAAGAAGCCAAGTGAATAAAGAGAATTTGGCAATGTCAGATTTCCTGTCCAGTAATATCTTAAGATCAGAGATTCATCTTTTTTTTTTAATACAAGGAATTTACCTTTAAAATGACTGAGTTTAATATTCTATGAGAACTGTCATTCTGAGGCTAAGCAAGGCACTCTAGGCAGTCAGAGGGTTGGATCTTGTGGTATTGTCATTTCTAGCAAAAACAGATCAATTGAGTGTAGAACTCAGGTTTGCAAATCATTGTGTTGACCAGCTGTTAATCTTGCTCATCTAGACTTCAGGCATACGCTATGGAAGGGATCTGCATTTGCAGCTCTTCACAGAGGCAGGCCTCCCGAACTACCTGTCAATTATGGGAAGCCACCAAATGTGGGTAAGTAATATCCAATTCAAATATAAATAAGTTGTACCTGCCATTTCCATACCTTTGTAATTGTTTTCAGTTGAAACTTTATTAACCGAGACACTGTGTTGGACTTCGTATGTATTTTTGGTGACTTTCAAGATAAACTTCTCTCCAAAGCTTTACATTAAACACAGGTTAGTCATTTTTACATTATTTAGGCTTTTTTCTTACCACAGACCTTTTTGATTTGTTCTCATTTAAAATCCGTGTGTGTGTGTGCATGCGTGTGTATGTGTACGTGTACAGACACACAGGTTGTTGTTGTACTCTTGCTAAACAGTAACAGATGTTGAAGTCTTGTGTGTCATCTTCCTATCAGATGAGAAATCAACCATGTTAACAGTGAATATTTTGTATTTTAAGTTGTTTTACACTAAATATACCTGTCCTTGAATAGAGATCAATGCAGACAGTCCCTTCTTTTAGAAATCTTAGTTGGAACACCAATTCTTCATTCCCATGGAATTTTTCTTTCTCGAGAGTTGACTGCAATAAGAAAAAGATTAAGAAAGCAAACAAAATGTTTGAAATAGAACCCACCAAGAATGAAACCATTCTGCACCATTCCAAAACTAGTGACATGAGCTCTTCTTCAGACTAAACACTGAAGAGAAGACCTTTTAAGACTTGCATAAAGCAGTGCCAACTGGTAACTTCTATTTAGATGTGCAGGCATAAGTCTATCTAAACCGTTGTCTGTATGGGAAAGTTTAGTGAGTTATAGACTTGGGCTCAGGACAGAAATTACACGTAAACCAGTATAAGTGATTGGAAACCAGCCTAAAACTATAACAGAACAGAAGTTTGGTGCACATAGACTGGTTTCAAAATGGCAGAACCTGGTTTAAGATGGACCTGGATGGATCTTGTACCAATTTTAATCAGTTTAGGTTAGACTGGTCTATTGAGTTTCTGTTCCAGATCCCCTCCTGACTCAAGTTAGGTCATAGCCCCCCAGCATCCCAGGGTGCTTTGTGCCCCCCTTGCTTAACCCCTCCTTGCAGGGAAGGTGGGCGTGCCTCTGGCAGTGCTCCTTTGCATCCCTGGGCTGTTACAGAGCTGAGGCAGCAAAGCCTCTGATTCCTAGCCCTGCATCCTTCCTGCAGCTGTAAGCCAGGTGGGGCAGCAGGGGGGAGGCAGGGGAATGAAGCCCCCTGTCCCAGCCCTGGGTTCCCTCCAAGCTGGGGTTTGCCTAGCTAGGGGGAGCACCATGTCACAGGAGGGGTGGTTTCCCCTGCCTCCATCTCAGCCTTCTCCGTTCCCCCACAAAGCAGGCATCCTCTGCCCAGCTGGGGTAGCCCTTGTTGCTGGGGGATTTCCCCTTCAAATCTGGTGGAGTTGGCTGTACAGCCTTGTCCTCTGTGGCCACATCCAGATGAGCGTGGCTGTGCGGTATGTGCTGTACCTGCTGCACGTTCAGTTGTTCTCGGTGCTGTAATGGAGCAGCATGGAGGGTTTCTTTGATCTGTGGATATTCAGGGGTCAAAAATAACTGCAGAGAAAAAAAGCAGAGCAGCGCATATGGGAACAGCACGCACCAGAAAGAAGTGAAGCCGAGCTGCCCAGAGCCATGTTGCAGCTGCCAGCCAGGCTCCACACGGCAGAATTGCTGCTTCTGCTGCAGCCCCAGGAGGCCCCCAGGACCGCAGGTCAGGTTGCTGGAGCCAGCCCAGTGCTGGCCCCAGGCTTCCCTACCCCACCCGAGGTAACTTGCTTCACACTTCCCTGGGGACAGCTAGTGGTGGCGCTGCTTGTTCTCCCCTGGGAACCAAACATCCACATGTGGACATGCCGTATGAGTCTCTGCCTCTGAGTTGTAGTGGGGAGCTAAGCCACCACCCCCATCTTGGCCCCCCGGCACCAGCAGTAGTCGGCAAGATGCTCCAGACAGCCCCAGCGGCTTGTACAGGGTGTTGGGGCTTGATCCTTCCTTCTAAGAAGCCGGTCTAGCTGGGTAGGGATGAAGCAAATCTGCCCCCCAGCTGGGCAGACCCCAGTTTGGGGGAGCTGGGATTGGGGTGGAGGGCTTCCCTCCCACAGGTCAGAGACAGATTTGCAGCGGGTAGGGGTGTTCAACCGGCCAGGCTGGGTGGAGACGGGGAAACTTCCTTGTAGTGGGGTCTCCCACGGCAGGGGAATCTACTGCAGGTTGTTGGGGGCATGTGCTGGGCAGCCAAGGAGAGATGGCATCTGCTTAGCTCTACTCGAGTGCTTTCAGTAACGTCTGGCAAGCTGGGAGGTATGCAAGAGCGCCCCTGCTTTCTGGCCTCCTCCAGTGCAGGCATCTGCATATCTTCCCCAACCGAGTGAGTGCGAGTTCCATTGATTAACAGTCCAGTCCACACAACTTAGAGAAACCTGCAGTGACTGAATTGATTTCCCCTCAGGCTTTTCGACTGTTTTTACTTAGGCTTAGTTATATCAGGGTGCATAGTGGTAGGAGAAGGGGTTCTTTTTGTGGCTTAGCATAAATACCTTTCTAAAGTGTTTAAAAGCAACAAAAAAAAAAAAATCCAAAATAATTGTCTACTGAGGGACACAAGCTTGAAAGAGTACTGCAGACCTTCCCAGCTGTGTGCACCATTAAAATCTGGGGCGCAGGCAGCTGGGGATCAGGGAGCTCCCCGATCCCCAATGGCACGATTGGGATCTGAGGAATTTTACGCCCCATACTACAAATTGTGTAGTGGCATGGCAGGGAACATGTTTTTTGTGATCGGGCATAAAATTCCTGAGCTCCTAGTTACACAGTTACATTAATGTCTGCCAGGGGCCTCTCTGAAAGAAAAAAATGAATACCCTCTGTTAATGCACTCTATTTATGGTATATATTTTATTTTTAATCTGGTGTTAAAAGCATACTCATTTTTGTTTGTAGACTTCTTCACTTGCATCCTTCTTTAAATGAAACAAGTTTAAAAATGTAACAGGAAATTCTTTTTGATCACGTCCAGTCACTTAGTCCAGTTATCTTTTATTAATTTAAAATACCTATCTGTTTAATTTCACTGGGGGTTTTTTTTTCTCTTCTCACTCCTGCAGTCTCTGCCTTAACTTTTCTGGGAATTGTTTGCCCTTTACTACCTTGAGTGGATTCCTGTTTCCTTGCTCGCCAAAGCTAGTACTTATGGTGATAGTATCCAGGGATATTTTAAAATTTCTCTTCATGTATTCTGTGTTGGTGGCGGTGAAGATGATTTATGTTTTTTACATTTCTGGTCTCTCTTTAATTCTCAAAGATCAGTCTTGGTAAGAAACAGACAGACCTAACACACTGGGTTTCAATCGCAATTTCAAACCAGTCAGTATAGTTTTCTGGGCAAGGTGTGTCACTGGTACAAGTGACAGAATAGCACATGTAATGAATGTGTGTATGGGGGAGGAGTGGGGAGCAGAGTGCTTTTTAAAATATATGTGAAATGGAAACAGATTGCAGTATTTCTGTGCAGTTCTCTGTAAAACGTACAAAAATACTGCATTAGTGAGCTTTGTCTTTGGTCAAATAGCTTTTGTGTTACAGATTTATGCCTTTTTTGACTAGGTAGATGGACTGTAAAGAGCCTGACTTTTATGGTTATTGCGTACACGACTCAATGACTTGAAATAAAGTAAAGGCTCTGGGTTACATCCTTTAAAGATGATTCAGACAACTGAATGTCTTGAGAAATGTGTGTATCATGACTTAATCATAATGAGCAGAACATTCTTTTGAGTTGTTCCTTCGTTGGTATATGCTGAAGGTACATATTTTACCTTTGTGATACTTTAATTGTGAAATGTAAGTTTAAGGGGTAGAAAGAATGATTTTTTTTTTATTTGGAGGTTTCTCTTGCCCAGGAGGTATTTTTGACATCACCACCTGTTGTGTGTATTTTCAAGTAATCTTATTTTATAAATATTGATGTATATGGTTATAATTTATAGGGTCTGTTATCCTTTCTGAATGTGTAAATAATGATAAACACAGTCTACATAAAAAATACTAAAATATTAAAACTTGGTTATAATTGAGCTATATGTTCATTATAGGTTATATTGTTAACTTTTGTAAATTCTATTCCTGAACACTTCTTCCAAGCCTTTTTCTGTATATGTGTTGTCTTGTGTGATGAGTTTATTTAATGTAAGATTATGTTGGATATTGTGAAAAGAATGTCTTGGCATGTATTTGTAATGTGCCATGCAAGCATATTGTTCTTCATGAAAGCCCTTATTATGCAAAAGTATATTACTTGATAGTAAATAGTGAAAAATCTTGCTGCTAAAAAAGACAAAAGATAGTGTCGGTATTCTGTAACGTGTTTTATAGAACAGTTTAAATTCTAGTGGACAAGCAGCTGTTAGCTATCCAGATCAGAGATGCCAGTATGATAGAGATGTCCTACAGTATAGATTTCATATTAGAAAATTACCAAAACAAACAAGTAAACCTCCTCATCCCTAAGTTTCTCACCAGAGGGAACTTTCTCAATGTGAACTCCTGTAGTGCTGGATTAGACAGTTTGAAAGACCTCTGACATGTGTCCTAATGCACTTGCATGCAAAAGTAGTCATGCTACATTATAGTGTTTGTTTAAGTGCCAGCTTTTAAATAATTTAGGACACCGGTGTTCTAGCTTGCTTGTGAAACTGTTGATTTGTATGCTGCCCTTCCCCACAAATACTGCAGTTGTACATGCAAGTCATTAAGTGTACATGGAAATAAAAATAATAAGCAAGGGGAAGAATGAGTAGGGTTACAGTGTTTTGCATGATTTTGCCTCAATGATCACTATTAATGTAAATGATACCAGTGCTACTACTGTACCTACTACTATTTCTGTGTGGATGAGACTGTCCATAGTTATCTAATTGGCCATAGAGACCTGTAGCTTCTTTTCTTCACCGTAGCATGTGTACACAGTTAGGGATTTCCTGTTGGCAGGAGGTTGATGTTCCTGGGGACATTATCAGCTGCAGGGATTGTATCTCTGTAATATTTACACCAAAACTGTGCTGAAGGTGATTATTTTCCACTCATCATTCAGAGCCCAATCCTGTGATGTGTGGAAGATGCTGTACACCTTTCAGGGTGCATTTGTAAAGGGCTCAAGTGTCATATCTTTGTAAAATATTGTATGTTCAGATTATAACAATACAGTGTTTAAATTTAGAAGGATTTAGTTTGGTCTCAGGATATCACATTAGGACTAGAAATATTATCAGCTTTCTGTGACTCCTTCTGATTCTTCAATCATAAGGAATGGAAAATGGAAGGTTGGTAACTCTGCAGAGGCTGAGTTAAACTACCTTGTGCATTTATGCAGCTGAGCAATTCTGAATTTCCAGACTGAAATGTGTTGGGTCCTTTTTGGTTCCTTTTTAGGTTGTAACTCTTAACATTGGATTTCCTGGTGTATATGTGTGATTCTTGCATTGTTCTACTTTTTAATGGTGTGAGTGGTGTGTTTTAAATGCTAATATCCTTATAGTGATTTTTATGTTTACTGATTCCAGTAACTTGGAGTCTGATTTAAAAAAAATCATATATATATATATGTCTCACGTACATTTATTTTTCTGGCAAATGGAGTATTATAAAAGTGCATGTAGCTAGGGTGTGAGGGAACTGGAGTTAGTTGTTGAGAAGCAGCTCTTCTATAGCATGCTCTTCTATTTTATATGCAGATTATAATCCTGCTTTTTGGGTAGAGCAAGGAAGGGTTAATGATCTGCAGGTGCCCACGGGATTCATTGGCAATACAAACAGAGCTGGCTGTGTTGCTTGGAGTGGATATGCCAGGATGTAAAACAGATAGGGTGGCTCTTCCTTAGGATGTCCTAAAATCTGTGGAGGTAGAGTATAGATTCGCAATAGATCTGTAGTCCTCACACAAAAGGGAAGCTGCGTTCTAACATGAGATCAGAAAGTTCCCTTCCTGAAGGGAGAATAACTCTGGTTATGTGTGGCATAAAGCTGCTAGAACTTTGGGGAATGTGGGAACTGAAGTGTAAATGAATATTGTGACAAGTAAAAGTTAGAAATAGCAGCAAGTTTCACTGGCACCTATATGTCTAAGTGATGAAGCATTTAGGTAACTAGAAATTTAGATTCTCCCACCAAAGAAAGCTCTTCTATAACTTAACAGAATAATTCCCTTTTTTTAAAAAAAGGAAGTCTGGATGCATGCTTATTTTCTACCATTGTATACATCTTCAGTTTAAAAGATCCTTTTAGTAAAAACTAGTGGTCACGGTAGAGTTGGCAGCTTTTATGCCCAAGTATGAAGTAGTGCAGCAAATTAGATATGTAAATAATATTTCTAAGAGTTAGTTAGGGTTCTTTACGTGAGAATCACTTTAAGCACTGAACACAATAACATTATTGTACTAAAGGAACCAGATTTCAGAAAGACATTTTACCGTGTGCATGTGTATATGTAATTCCCTGTTTAGAGATTACTTGAGAGATTTTCTACTGAAAGAAGTGGGAACTGGAATGACATGTTTTCATTTATTTGCTATTTCTTGTCTGGTAGTAGTAAATCAGTAAAACATAGAGACATGGAAAATAAATTGCATCCCACTTTTTGTGTAGTATGTTTGCATGTTTATGTCTCTGAGGTTTTTTTTTTTTTTTTATGGGAATCCTGTCCATTGAATGATTCACATTTTTGTTCAGAGGTGCCATTGCTGTGATGAAGCCAGTACCATTTTAATGGCAAATAATATGTCAATATTTCTATGGTAGTTGTTGTTCAAGCATTGTACCAACTTTAGTGCAAGTTGTTCTTAGTTTCTCATCTAAGGTATGGAAATATTATTTCCATTTTGAGATGGGGAAAGAGAAACAGAGAAAAGTTAAAAGATACTTTATATTATATTAAGGGTGAATCAGTTGCACAGCTGGTAATCAGTGTTATAAATCAGTGGATTAAAGGGGGCAGTGATGCGTAACTGCCAATCACTTTCATCTGAAATTTAACACTTAACATCTATTAGTGGCTTTGAAAACTTCTGCCTTGTTTGTATCAAAAGATGAGTAAAATTTTCAAAAGCACCCAAGTGATTTAGCTTACTCATGTCTGCCACAAATTTAGGATATACTATGCTTCATCTGCTCTGCAGTAACTGTCTGCACATACATTCTTACCCCATGCTAAATGGGAACTCACCTACAATAGCTTAGTTCTTCTCCTTGGTGTGCAAGTTGCTGTTCAGTAGTTTTCATTTATTATGTGGTAAGAATGTGCGCGTTGGTAGTTACTGTGGAGTAGCAAAGATATGATAAATCTCCCCTCCTCCCTCCCCACCACCCTGTTTTTTTTTTAACTTTATGGCAGCTTGTTTGCATGCCCCATACCATAATACTGCTAAATGACTTGGGTGCTTTGAAATACTTTAACGTAAGAAAATAGACCACATACTTTTTTTTTAAATAAAAAATATGTTTTCAGGGATATTTTAGAAAAGAATGGCAAGGTTCTTTGACTAGATGTGATATCTTTTATTAGACCAAATGAGTAGTTGGAAAAAAAAATTCTTGGCAAGATTTCAGGCACAGTCACCTTTCTTCAGGCATGGGGAGTCACTGCTGTTCTGAGACTCCAAGAAATGAAGGAAGCTAAAAGTGTGGCAGGATGTCAGTGAAAATGTAAATAGGTAGAATTAGAAAGACAGAAAAGAACAACACTCTTTGAAAATCTATTGTAAAAGTTGCAGTACAGTGAGAGGGTTGTGTTTAATGAGCATAACTTGGCATGTATGTGTTCCTTCCTGATTTGTTCTATTGTTAATTTTTTAAAATTGTATTTACCAAATTTTGAAACTTAAAAAGCAAATATCTTATTGTCATACTTCATTAAACCCAAGCACTGATGAGCAAATAGAATAGTCATGTGACTAAATGTCTGCATCTTGAAACTGGCATCATTGTTAGGGCTGTGTGAAACTTCGGTTGCTGATTTTGATTCGGTGGAGATTCGGACCGATTCAACAGACAAATCTCTGAATCCGAATAGAATCAGGAGACCCTTTAATCTCTCAGAATCAAATCGGAACCCTCTGAATCAGTTTGGAGAGATTTGATGATTTGGACATAGATGCAGCTTTATGTTTTTTCTACATACTGTTTTTTCTACTATCACTGAGTCCAATAAAAATTGGAAATGATTGGAGCCATAAGTGGCAGCTTTTTCCTTTTTTTTCTCTCTGAGATCTGAGTAAAAACCCTGATTTTATTTTATTTTTTTTGCTTTGTGTCTTGCCAGTGTAAGCTGCTATTAATATTATATTGTCCTAGTCCATGGGGACCACTATCAATATGATGTTCAGATGCCAAGTCCAGGAGGTTAGAAGGCATGGTTGGGATTCACGGGAAGGTTTGCTTGTGTAGGGTTTTGGGCAATAAGGTGGTTGGGGTGGGAGCTGAAGTGCTCAGATTTTGGGGAATTGTTTGGGGAACCTTGTCCATGGGTGATTTGCTTCTTGTAAGCTGCTCTGAGCCTTCTGGATAGGGCAGGATGTAAATATATAAACAAACAATAAGTAAATATAAAGCTGTGTTGTTTGATTCATCCTAAAGTACCTGGAAGTCTAAGCCAATCAGTGTCTAAAGAGACTTATATATATTTATTTATTTTTTGTTCTGCCCCCCCCTCTCCCCCCAGTAAATATAATTTCTGCCAGGCAACTAACTGGATATGGACGCTTCAGCCATTTGTTCCCATCATCCACCTATCAATACATGAAGATGCACAAGAGGATTCTGGGGCACTTATCATCTGTGTATTGTATAGCATTTGATCGCAGTGGAAGACGTATTTTCACAGTGAGTTTAAAATTTTTAATTTTGAATCTGGTGCATTTAAACCATATAATGTTCCTGCCCAGAGGAACCTCCTACTTCCTTTAATTTGCTTTTTTCTAGACTGCATGTTTCACAGTACTGGTAGTCTTTCTTATATTTCAGTAAAAACTTTCTAGCAGACAGTATAGTGAGTTGTCTTATTATGGATTATTAAAGCTGTGTGACATCTGCAAAATATACTCTAATAGATTTGCATTATGAAGTACAAAATAGTTTATAATTAAACTACAAGAGTCAAAATAAGTGAAAAAGTTAATTTTGATCATTTTTCCCTTCTGTGAATCCACAGAGTTTGTTAATTCATTGTGCATCTCAAAGTTGTAAATGTGTGCTATTAACTTTTTATCATACTTCAATATTCAAAAGCAGCTTTTTTCACCTTTACCGAAAAACATAGGGATCACTCTACACCCTTTTCTTTTGTTGAAGTCTCCTTTCTTTTCTCTGTCTGCTTTCCCAGCTACAATTACAGGCAGGACTGCTTTATGTTTGATATTTTATTTAGTTAGTGAAATTACGTGTAAAACCAACTTACATTTTACATTATATTCAATTATATCAGCATATTGCATTACACTTTTCAAAGTGTAATAACAAATTCTGAGCAGAACTGAGGAGTCAGAGGGTCAGACCTGGATCAAGCATAGATCTAGCAAAAAAAATTCCTATGCCAGGAGTTTTTCTGCTTGAATATTGGCCACGTCTACATGAGATGTTTACCGCGGAGCTGACTAATTAGCTCTGCAATAGCATCTTGGTGTCTGTACATTAGGACTGTGCGAAACACCATTGTTTTGTTTTGACCACCATCTCAAAGGGATAGTGTTTTGTTTTGGTTTGAAGCACTGTCCTGTTTCATTTAGTTGAAACTGTTTCGCTGTTTTGACTCTTTTCAATGTTTCACCCATGGGCTATAATGGGGAATCATGAAAATGCCTAAAACATTGTCGTTTGTTGCCTGATTTGGATGCAAATTGCAGGGATTGTAGCCCCTTCTGAGGGCATGAAGCCTGCCAAGTTTCAAGGAGATAGGTTTAGAGGTTTCTCAGAAACTGCACCTCAGATCCTTGAAAGCAAAATTTGTGACACTTGCTGGCAGCAGCAGCTTCCTGTCATCCGGCATGCAGATCTGGGGGCTTGCACCCCTGGGAGGGCTGTGGGGCTGTGCTGGACTCCTCCTGGGGGTGCGGGCCTCCAGTTCTGTGCTGGATGACAGGAGGCTGCTGCTGCTGTCTGGAACCGGTGCTGAGCACAGCCCACACCCAGTGCCAGGCTCCATGGGGCTCAGCCCAGTGGCAAGAGGTGGAGCGCAGCCCCAGCTCTGCCTGCCTCCTGTCACTGGGCTGTGCTCTGTAGGGCTGGTGAAGCCTCATGGAGCACAGCCTGGCAGCAGGAGGCGGGCAGAGCCAGTGCTGCACTCTAATCGGCTCTGCCATCCCCACGGAGTGCAGCCTGGTGGCAGGAGGCAGGGAGAGCCAGGGCTGTGCTCTTCACTGGGCTGCGGAGCCACTCGGAGCGTAGCCCTGGCTCTCACTTGCCTCCCACCACCAGGCTGCTTTGAAACTCGAAACATTTTGAGTGCCCTCGTTTCATTTCAAAGCTGTTTCAGTGCTTTTTGTTTCATTTCAATTTTGCTGTTTGGAGCCAAAAGCAAATAATTTTTATTTGATTAGCCCAAGAAATGTAGTTTTAGACAAAAAAAACATGCCTCCCTAAGCATTTTGGGAGTTTGACAGATTCTTCTAGGGTGTCCATGAGTCCCCTTCCTGCTCATGTCTTCTTGCAATCATAGAGTTTCTCTCTGGAAGCTAGTGTTCTCCCCCATAGTTGGTGATAAACCCTTTCATTTATCATCTCCAATCCTCTTTGGCAGATCTGTCTCCCAGAAAGGGATCATTGTTTAGTTAATATCCCCTTGGACAGAATAACTCTTCTGTGGAGTGCCCAAAATTTTGTCCAAGTGTGTATGCCTCTGAATAGAGGGCATTCAAGGTTTAATGACACTCCATTGTTAGCCCTGTGCCCTGTCCCTTAGAACAGTGGGGGCCAACCTGGCTAACTGGCTTAGGGACTGCACCCAAAGAGTGGTGGTTGATGGGTCATTTTCAACCTGGAAGGAGGTGGGCAGTGGGGTCCCACGGGGTTTGGTCCTTGGGCCGATATTATTTAATATCTTCATCAGTGATTTGGACGAGGCTGTGTTGAGCACCCTCTCCAAGGTCGCAGATGATACCAAATTATGGGGCAAAGTTAATACACCAGAGGGCAGGGAGCAGTTACAGGCTGACCTGGACAGGTTAGATCAATGGGCAGAATGTAATAGGATGCAATTCAACAAAGATAAATGTACTCTACCTAGGAAGGAGGAATCCCCAGCACACCTACAGTTTGGGGGAGGTCCTCCTCAGAAGCTCAGAGGCTGAGAGAGATCTTGGAGTCATAGTTGACTCCAAGATGAACATGAGCAGGCGGTGTAACGAGGCCATCAACAAAGCCAATTGCACCTTGTTGTGTATTAACAGATGCATGACCAACAGATTGAGGGAGGTGAGGCTCCCCCTCTATGCAGCGCTAGTTAGGCCACAGTTGGAGTACTGTGTCCAGTTTTGGGTGCCACACTTCAAGAGGGACATGGACATTCTGGAACGGGTTCAGAGGAGGGCCACCCGCATGATTAGTGGTCTCCGTGAAAGACCCTACAAGGAGAGGTTGAGAGATCTGGATCTCTTCAGCCTATACAAAAGATGGTTGATGGGTGATCTTGTGGCCGCCTATAAATTTATCAGGGGAGGATAGCAGGGAATTGGGGATGTGCTGTTTTCCAGAGAACCCCAGGGAGTAACTAGGAATAATGGGTGCAAACTAGTGGAGAGTAGATTTAGGTTAGACATTAGGAAGACATTTTTTACAATAAGGGTGGCCGGAGTCTGGAATGGGCTTCCAAGAGAGGTGGTGCTGTCACCTAACTTGGAGGTCTTCAAGAGGAGGCTTGACAATCACCTGGCTGGGGTCATCTGACCTCGGTCCTCTTTCTTGCTGGGGTGGAAGGGGGTTGGACATGATGATCCATTGGGTCCCTTCCAACTCTATAATCTATGAACTTTTTTTGACAGCAGTGCCACAAATTAGCCCTGTACCCTTCCCGAGTACCACTCTGATGCCTTTCCCCTGCCTGATGTGCTGCTCCACTTTCTGATTCCCACCCTGTGCTTCA